CTAGGTGGAGGAGAGAGCTTTCCAACTTCCTACAAATATTAATTAATATTTTTCACTTTCAAAATCGCTCCCCCAGCGGTCATTGGAATTGTTTAAGGTTTTTCAGCGATATCATTAAGTCCTAACACGCCCACAATTAAAAGCATCCCCATCGGCGGGAGAGAAGAAAAAAATCTTTAACAAAAATTATGAGAAGCTCTTATAATAGATTATGTCAAAGCGTAGTGAGGGGAATTCCCCAAAAATTAATTTGAAAATATAAACCAGCGAGGGGCGGAGATGTGAAAAGGCAGGGTGGCTGGCCAGAATAGCCGTGAATTTGTTGTGTGTCACGTCCAGTCGGCTTTTCCAGGATTTTCCGTTCAGTATGGAAATTTTTGTGGATTTTCTTGGAGGCCATTTCTTGCAAATGGCAGCTAAGCGACGCATAATGAGAACTCAAGCCAAAAGACTTGGGGACTTTCTGCGGTTGCCCCAAGGCCCCCGAAAATAACGAGACTCTTTAAGGCAAGTACTGCCTCGCACACACAAGACGCAATTGATTTAAGCTGCTTGGCTGGGTTCTTCGCCTTTGACTGGGCCTAATCCTATTTTTCATTAATCTAATTAAGGCTGCGTAGACCGAGAGAGAGAGATCCTAACATTTTCGGTAGACACGAGGCCAATCTAATGAAATTATTTGCCAGAAACAAAGGCCCCCCGGTTGGCGCCCACAATGCACTTCGAGAGCATTATCGATTGGGCGAATTGAGGTCAATTAGGCTGGAGCTGTAGAAATTTTGGCAACCGAGAAATTTCAAAAATCCCAATTAGCCGAATGTAAAAGAACGTCTTTTAATTTAATTTCCAGTGAACGTTAAAGGAGGGCACCAAAGAATTCCAAAGGATAAAGTATATTGGCGATCTAAGGAGAACCGAACGGCGAAAAACAAGCATTCCCCGAGGTAATCTCGCAACCGAAACCTTGACAGCCAGGGAGCCGGGGCCCAAGAAATATTTAATGCTCACTGCCATACTTAATAATAAAAAACCTTTTACACGCTGCACCAAAAAAAAAAACATGAATGGGAAAAGGCCAACACCAGACGTCCCCCGGGCATCGCTAAGCGGGCAAAAAAGGCCCGAAAGAAAGTACAATGGGCCAAGGCAAGCGAGAAGTGCGATAAATAAAGCCAGGATTTAAGCCAAGAGTGCAGGGCATTCAAATGTTGTTAATACACAGGGAGAAAAGTCTAATTGGGCAATGAAAAAGGAAATTTTAAAGCATACTTTTTGGCGCATTAACTAAATATTTTCCTCTTTTTAATCTTCTTTTTCTAGGTCTCCATGTTAGCCTCTTCGCTAGGGAGTTAGGATGAAAGCCAAGGCGTTCATGATATTTTTCAGAATGTATACGTATTACATCGCCTATCTTTGGGATTTTAAGATCTCTTTCTATATCCCTAGTTCTCATGAACCAGGGGGCATTACAAATCGATCTGACTATCTTACTTTGCGCTACTCGTATTTTTTTCAGGTTTGACTTAGACGCTATGCCGTAGACTTGTAATGCATACTTCCAGATTGGGCTAAGAATAGATTTGTAGATCCTAACTTTGTTGGAAAGTGAAAGCTTATTTCTTGGTGATAATAACCAGGACATACTTGCTGCCTTTGAAAGCACCGCCTGCTTTATCATCGTTGTGTGCCTCTGGAAGTTAAGTCCTCTATCCAAAATCACACCAAGGTACTTGTAGTAGGCTTCGTGACGAAGCACAGAGCCAAGCATGGAGATGCCTGGGCAGTTTTTTGGCCTTGTGGAGAATGTGACACAAGCACATTTGCTGCAGTTGATGCCTATGCTCCAATCTGTAGTCCACTTTTCAAAACGTGTCACGTACTCTTGCAGACCCAAGGTTGCGATTTCTATGCTTGGACTTCTGACCATAACAGCAGTGTCGTCAGCGTACGTTGCGATCAGCATGTTACCATCGTCGACTTGGGTACAGGCCCAGGAGTCTGGCATATCTGATGTGTACAAAGAGTAAAGCGTCGGACCTAGTACACTACCTTGTGGTACACCGGCTGAGATTGGGCGTTTTGACGACTTTTCTCCATCGAAAACCACACTGAATTTTCTCTCCGATAAGAAGCTCTAAACTAGGAGAAAAAGCTGAGGCGTTAGGAGGTTTTTCAGCTTGCTTAGAAGACCATCGTGCCATACCCTGTCAAAGGCTTGTTGAATGTCCATGAACACAGCAACTGCATACATTTTGTTTTCCATGGCTTCAAGAGCGAAATTGACCACGCGATGTAGCTGTTCAGGTGTGCCATGACTCTTTCGAAAGCCAAATTGCCACTTTGGAATAGCTCTGCTTACCATTTCTAGTGCAAGGATGCGATTCAGAATGACTCTTTCCATCATTTTACCCAATGCAGGTAAGAGACTAATTGGCCTGTATGCATCTACCTCAGTGGGTTGCTTTCCAGGCTTGGGTATCATCGTGATGATAGCATTCTTCCATGCTCTCGGGTAATGACTCAGCCTTAGGACGCTGTTAAACAATAGGACTATAAATAGTAGTGCCTTGATGGGAAGAATCTTCAGCGTTTTATTGTCCAGAAGGTCCTCTCCTGGTGCTTTTTTGTTTTTGAGGTTTCCGATCTGTGCCTTGACTTCTTCCAAGGTTACAGGCTTACAGGGAAGAGCCATTTGAAATGGTCTGTCCAGTTGTGTTTCTACAAACATTCGGTTTTCCAGTGGAGCTAGATCTAGCGGCTTAAATCTATTTTCCAGATTATCAGCAAAGATATCCGCCTTCTGCTGACTTGACCTACACCAACCGCCAGCGGGATTTCTGAGTGGAGCCTTTGGGATGACCTGTCTCTTAAATCGACTTGTGAGTTTCCATAAGGAGTAATTGGTAGATGCATCTGGACTCGCATTTTCCAACATCTGGTCTATATGGTCTTGCTTGTTCTTGGTCAGGACTTTGCTTAGCCGGTTTGACAGTCTTTTATAAATCCTGTGGAAGCGAATATCTCCTGTGCTTGTGTATTGTCGACGGACTTTTCTTCTAAGCCGTATGAGAAGTAGAGCATTTTGTGGGAGCAGATTGTTGCTATTGTGATTCGAACGGTGACTTTGGTTCGGGGTAGCAGCTGTCGCAGCAGTGTGTATATTTTCCATGAAAGCTGCCACCGCAGCTTCAAGATCGTCTGGATGGTTGATGACCGTGTTGAGGTTAATGCTTCTGTCTAGGGACTCCTTAAACTTTTCAACAGAGGAGCCGGGCGGGAGTATTGATTTCTTTTTTGGCTTGCATTGCGGTCTTTGGCTTAGCGTTGCGACGATGGCCAAATGATCCGAGGACAGCTCGTATTTGGTTTCGATTGCAAGTTTGTGGAGTGGTACCCCATTTACGATGAAGAAGTCCAGGGCGGTTGGTGTGAGCCTGGTATTTGAAGAATAGAAAGTAGGTTCCCCAGTAGCTAGAACTTGGCTTGAGCTTGAAACTATGGCCTCTTGGAGACGCTTTCCCCGGCAACAGGACCTTAAATTTCCCCACCATTGATGCTTGGCATTAAAGTCACCTCCAGCTAAAAATTTTGGACCTAGAGAGGCTAGTAGCTGGTCAAAATCTTGTTTTGTCCAAGGCTCGCTGGGCGGAAGATACAAGGAAGCTATTTTAAGTAGACCTCCATTTGTTTGAATTTCAATGCAAGCTAGCTGTAAGTCTGTTCTCGTCGTGGGCTCACTCTGCGTATGGATAATGCTGGTCTTGATAAGGATAGCAGAGCCGCCTTTAGCAGTGTTGCTAGGGTGATTGGCAAAATATTGGTCATAACCAGGAATGTAAAAGTTAAGACCGGGACGCATGTGCGTCTCGGTAATGAGCAAATGAGGTAAATATTTTCCATTATTATAAACCTTCTTATATTTAGAACTTATAAGTAAGCCCTGCTCCTGAGATTTTTCTTAGTGAACACTCAAAAACAGCTGAAAACTGCACACTAAATGCTTGGGCGCCTGAAAGTATGCTTTCAATTGTGCGCAATTTAGTGCGACAGGACGACAACAAAAGGGCCTCTTTCTGGAGCTAGGACCCTACCTGTTCCAATGCTTGTACGTGTATGTGTTTGTGTGTGTGAATGCAATTGTACCAGTGTGTGTGCGCTTGACTAGGTGCGAACAAACACGTGCGAATGCGGCGCCTAAAAACAGGCAACACAAAAAGGCCAGCGACTTTTGCTCATTGTTTGCCATGGCTCTCTACCTTTCCGGAGGACTCCGAACTGCGAACGGCGAAGCATGCTTTCTGTTTTCTGCTTTCTGCTCTGCGATTACGATTATTATGATTATTGTTTACTAAAGCCAGGGTGCAAGAAAACACGGCCAGAAGTTAGGGCAAATATCATAATAAAAGTCCATAAAATAAAACTGGCGACTGCCTGGTTTTCGGCCATCTTTTCTTCTTCTAGTACTCGCTCTGTTCCATTTCCATTCTGGCCAACAATGCGAAGCGGCGGCCGCGCTAGTTTTATGTGCCACATAAACATAGCTGCCACTCGCGTTGTTGCACGCTTTTTGGCGCGCAAAAACTTGGCGCTCGCTTTGCCATTTTATTGCTTGTCTTACACACTCAAACACAAATACACACACACCACCGTACACACACACAGCCAGGCTATATGGGGCCATGACTTTTGTCATTCCATTTCGTTTGGTTCCGTTTTGCCTTTCTTGTGCCAACAACCTGCCACGCCTGAAATATGCTAGCTGCATACTTTTGGGCGCCGGGCATGAAATTAAATGTAGGAAAAATTTACGAAAATAAATATAAAAGCTTCAAGTCAGTTACGGTTTCAGTTGTAAAAGTAAATGTATACATTTTTGCTATGGAAGATTTAAATTCCACCACAATTTTAAAGTCATATGTAGCAGAAAAAGCCTGTTTCTTCATAAAAACTCACATTTCTTTTGTTCTTAAATCTGATATGTAAGAGAAAACATTACTAACCTGCTTACTGTTGCTGATAATCAGGCATTACTTTTCTCAAAGGGGATTTTCAATTAAAAATATTTTCCTAAGTAGGTATGGTATTATGGCGAACTTTTTGTCGGGGGATTAACGGTTCATATTGGCTTAGAACTCTTTGAGACGGAAATTCCAGCACTTTGGCGCTGTCTTGTTTTTCTTTTGGGGTGAGCCCGAAAAAAACTCGTTCTCGTTCTCGTTTCGGTTTCTGTGAACTGTGATTACTCTCCGCGTTGGCAAATTAAGGCTGCGCCTAGTCGGCCGGACACGGACGTCGCTTTGCCGGAAACGGAAGCCGGAAATTGCGCGCACAACAAGCGACCAAGGACCGAAACCCAGGACACACTCACTACCACTAACAGTCGGCTTGTTTTCAATATTATTTTATACTTTTTTTTTTCATATACTTTTCTGGTTGTTTTTAATACTGCTGGCCAGGCCAATAAAACCGCAGATAATCCAGCCGATTGACACGGCCCCCGAGATGCGTATTTAAAAATACTTGAAACGCAATTAATTTTGATTTTTATTTATTTCTTTTTTCGGTTTTTTTTGTATTTAAGCGAACACGATTCGAACACACACGTGCTCTTCTCACGCGCCACACTTTGCGGCAGCGTCAGTGCAATTAATTATGTTTGCCTTGTTGTCTTTCGTGTTGGTTGCGGGTATTTAACATGTCTGGGATGTTGCAACTTCTGCGACAAAAGGACTTTCGGGACACCAATTGCAAACAGTTATTTTTCTGGGAAAATGCGAAATGTAACCCCCTCCCAGGAGAAGTTTCCACAGATTTTTACGCACGTCGCGTTTACTTCTCGAATTATTTTCACGAATTGTTTTCCGACGCACGTCCGGTTCCGTCGACTCTCGCGAATACTCTCATCGAGGATTTTGAAAACACGCTGGGTTCTATGCTATAGAAGGCTAACAGTCTGTGGAGAAAGTACAGTAACAGAGCTGTAGCAGAAAAAGAAAGTTTAACAGAGGCATTCTTTTGCTGCTGCAGCTCTGCTAACCGCTCTCGCGCTCGTGAAATCTTCTCTTTTGGGCTGCGCTCTGTTATACGAGTGTTATATGCCTTCCAGGCTGCGAGAGCGGAACTCTCCTGTATCTGTATCTCACAGATTCTCTCACCGGCTTTGGGTTTGTTTGGCGGCATTTCTGAGATTCGCTTCGCCATTGCCGGCTCCGGGTTCCGGGCTGCCGACTCCGGGACTCTGGAGATTCTCCAGAGGAAACTTAAATGCATTTGCTTATAAATTATGTCTTCGTGGCGTGTTAATGTGCCCTGAATCGCTGACTGACGGCTTGACAGAGTGACAGACTGACGGAGTGAAGGACTGCTGCCGCCCGAGTTGCTTGGGCGACGCCAGATTTTTGTCCGCCCTACGACAAGGACACACCTGTTGGGCCACCTGTAATGCAGGTGAAAGGGTGTGCTGCCTGCGCACAGTGAAGGGCGTTGGGTAATGCACATGACATGTAATTGAATTAAATTGATTTAATTTGTAGATGCTTTTGAAGGAAATAAATATTAAAATTATATAGTTACTAGTCTATTTGAAAATTAAATTCAGAAACAGGAAATATACATGCATATATTGGTCTTCCGTTTGCCCAAATCTTTCAATGCTCCTCCAAAAATAAATTTTCATTTCAAGTATTTATTCGAGCACCCGCTTCCGGCACTTTGTTTTCCAAAAACACTTTAGAATACCCATTCATTGCAAAGGGAAGCCAGCGAAATCAATTGACTCTGGCATAGCCTGGCACATCTTTGGCTGCCGGTCAATTAGCAGTTTAATTGTTTTTACAGCCAACTCCCAGACTCCACACTCCGATCTCCAAATCTAAATAAAATCTGAAGACATAAATCACGTCAATGCAACGACGCCCTGAATTTACATAAATAATGGAAGTGTGGGCCTGGCCTGGGGAGGTACAATCGCATAGTGTCACTCCTAGAGTTACTAGACTTCTTCCAGCCGACGTCTCGCCTAAACATCATTAAAAATAAAACCCAATTAACGGTTTCGAGTGCCTGTCGCCTGACAAAAGGACGCCCTTTATTCCAAAATAGTTTCAACTTTTGCAAAAATATGTGAAAAATGAGCCAAGAACTGGATAGCTGGGTAGAGCTGTATAGCTGTAGAGCTGTGGAGGGGTGGTGGCAGAATGTCATTGGCATTGCAGTGGCACATTGTTGTTACTGGTGTTGCGGCTTCGGGTTCGTTTTCGGGTTCAACTCCAGGGGGTTGCTGATGCTGCTGCCGCTGCTGCATCTGCTTGACAATTGTTGCCACTTATATATACGATTTTCTTTTTTTTTTTTGTTCTGTTCACCCTGCTAATCCGCAATCTCTACATCTAACAAATACAAAAAATAAATAAGAAAAAATCTCAAGAACTGCAAGTTTAGGAAAGTTCTACTATAACGCAACGAAATGCAATTTTGTTTACGTTTCGCTTTGACAATGACTTGCAATTGCAACCCAGAGTTGAGAAGTTACGGAGCGGCGGAGATGCGGGGGAAAAATGCCAAACCCCAATGACGGAGCTGAAAAACCAGGATTCGAAATTAAATTTGCCACGCGTCTGGATCGACGAGTGCACAATAAATTGTTTATCCAAGAGTTGATGTTTGTCTGCCATATGAATGAACTCTGACCCCTGGCGAACGAGGATGCCTTTTAAACGTTCTTAAAAGCGCAACTAATAAGTCTTCAAAAGTGTCTAGTCATGTGGAAATATGGGAACTATTGCAGCCGAGGGGTAGAGTAGAGCTGATGCACCCTACAGCCACATGCCACATCCACCAAATACCTTCGACAACATTTATCAGCGTTTAATTGAAAATCATTTCGTTTCCGGTGTATGTGGCAACCCTGAACAGGACGAGCCGAAGAGAAACTGTTCGACGGCTCTCTCTGCGCACTGCCCTTCCAGTGGCGCTTCCAGTGCAGATTCGCGCTCTTCGAACAACAAGGCCCTTGGCAGCATTTCATTCAAAAACCAAAACTCAAACCGAGTCCAGCCTCAAAGTACTCGCAGTTAAATAATTTTTATTGTTGTTTTTCCGGTTTTTTGGGGAAAAGTAAATTTTGCACAACAATTTCCCGCCCCCCTCAGATGGATAGAAAGAGAGGGGAGACAGATGGTGCGAGGGAGAGGGAAGGCTGCAGGGCAGCGAACACAAATCACGGAAAATATAATTTATTATTTCTTGCCTTATCCTTGAGCCGCAGCCAAGGCGCATCTCCACCGCCGCCCCTCTCCTTTTACTCCTTGCCTCCTGTCCTTTTCTCTGATGTGTTTGTCTTTGGCCTGGGTCCGTCGTCCTGCTGCTCCTCCTCTGACAGTCTACTACTAGCTCCAAGTCCTCGAACCCCTTAAAGCCCCATTCATTCCCCACTCCCTCTTACACCCCCTTGTACCTTTCCCCGGCAAAATTCTATGCTTAACGCCATTTTTGTGTGCGAGACACGATGACGACAAATTTTCAACGTGCAACCTGACACTGAGCTGAGATTTTCCAAATTCCTTGTCTTCACTTGTGCCTCCCCCCCCACCCCTCCTCGGAGTCCTGCGTCCTTCTGCCTTTGGCTCAATGATTGCTGCATGCATGCAAAACTGCCAGGGACTCTGTCTCCGGTTATGGCCCCCTTCTCTGTCTTACTTTCTCTATAGCCTCGGTCTCTATCTCTTTCTATCGCCCTTGCTCTGTCTATTTCTCCGTCTACATCTGCGACTCCGACAGTTGAAAGGATTAGACCAGCTCATGTGTCCCTGTGTCGTGTGAGAAATAGAATGGTAGTACAGGCAGGGAAAAGGGATGTTCTTTTCAATTTCAAGACATTTTAGAGGACATTATAGAAGAGCTAGTTTCTTCCAGTGTATGGGTGGCAAAGTGGGCGGCAGGGACACTCGCTTCTACGTAAAAAGTATTTGCACAACTCTCAAGTGGGTCAAATGATTAGGCGGCATGATGAAGTGCCTTGCCACTCGAGCCATCGCCTTCCGTTTCAGAGCCGCCCCCTCATGCAGCGCCCATCCAAAAATAAACAGTTTAATGTTTTGAATGAGCAATTGAATTTGATTATGCACGAGTGTGGGTGTATATAGTCACATATACAGACATACATACATATGCGTATTCCTTGGAAGGACGAAGAAGACATCGACATACCCCTTTCGGGTGCGCCCTTTTGCCAAATAGCTTCGATGGCCCTGGCCCCGGCCCTGGCAGAGTCAGGCAAATGCATTAGATATTATGTAATGTGTGGGGGAGCCAGAGAGTAGTAGTAGGAGCCAGGAGCCAGGATATCCACCCACATAGATGAGAAACGGTAAGCGGCTTAACTGAAATAAGACAACACCTTCACTTGGCTTATGCTGCTGGCTGAGATTGCCCGAAATTTGACTACATAGTAGTGTAATTATGCTCTCGAGTGTGTTATTGCCGGGGATTACATTATCTTCATACTTCATTACATGGAACAAGTTGGATTGGTTCGCCTTTTGTGGGTTAATTAGGGGAATTTTCAAGTTAATCGACAATTAATATCAGATTCTCGGTCATCCAGGGGTTTCCTTCCACTCTACTAGATGGGGCTTACCATAGTTTTCGTAAAAAAGTAAGCCTTTCCCATAACCATTAGGCAATTGTTATTACCTCAAAAGCCAGCAGCACAATCTCAATTATCACCGGTAGACCTATGCAATATCCTCTCCAAATTGCCAACACACCTTCGACAGAGCCCCAACATATTTTCACTTTCATAATGTCCTGACATGAAAAACAAGGACACAAACAAAACAGGAAATTGCTACTTAAATTCAAAGCCAATCTCTTTTGTTGGCAAATATTCCAAAAATAAGCCAAACAGAAAATAAAAGATAAAAGCCGAAGACAATGGCGGCCAAAAAATATGGCAGGACCCTTGAATGGAAAATGAGTTGGGAAACAGGATCAGGGGCGGGTAAGGCTATAGGTATGGGTATATGGGGGTGCTGAAGACCGCCCAAGCAGCGACGACATTTAACGTTTTAAATCTGATTATTCCACAACAACTGTCAATAATGCAGAGCTGAGACTGAAAAAGGGACAGGCCTCCTCGCACCAGAAACCCAAGCACTAAGCCAGGCCAAATGAGCCTGGTGGATGTATTCTGGCCTGTTTTTCCGACTCTGCCTCAGACTCCGACTCCGAGTCTCTGACTTTTTCCCGCAACCGCAAAACGAGGCGAGAAAATTGTCACCAACGAAAAAGCAACCGAGCATCGAATTGTGTAAATCAAAAAAATAATTGCGCCTGATAACAACATCAATAACAATAAGCGATGCTTCCCCAGGCAGGCATGAAAAAGGAGTACAACAAAAAATCCAAACAAAAAGGTGAAGCCACCACGAGAATTGCACACAATAACCATAAAAGGATAAGGGGCTAGGGATAGGGATGCAGGGATAACGATGAAAGGGGTTGAGACCGCTCGAGGTGTGGTGGGATGGGCGTGGTCGGGGCTCCTGTCAAAACACTGGACTCAAAAGACTGGAGGGCTCGATGGCGGGTCCTTTGCCTCTTCCCGGCTAATTTATGGCTCACTCTCTTAAAGTTTTGTTCGAATTTCGGGCTCGTAAATCTTTTCAACACATACATAGTAGTACAACACAAGCCACCCAATAATACACTCGACTCTCTGCCGAGAGTTAACTTCGCCAAGCCACTTCATCCCCCCCACTCCTACTCCCAGTCCCATCCACAATCCACTTCCACTTCCACTTCACTCCAACTCCAATGCCAAAGGTCCTTTCGACTTCAACACTTGGCGGTGCCTTTATTTACTTCATATTAATATTAAGTTCATTG